GGGCGCAAACGTCTCTGTCGCAATCATCTGCCATCGATGAGCTGGACGAGTCGGAACTTGACGGCCCCGAGTACAATGATCAACGGGCACATGAAGTCACTCACGGTCGCCTCGTACAAGGTCATATCGTGCCGGACGACTTCCCCTCGCCGGCAATCTCGGCGGCGGACGGTAGCGTCACCGAGGAAGACCCCATGGCCATGTCTCATGCATCGTCATTCTTTGGCCCCCAACCCCATGCTCTGGGAGGCTCGGGAGACGTGGCAAGCTCTGACGAGGAGGAGGAAGTCCTCAAGAACCCAAAGGTCGAACACATGATCACCCTGGTCGGGGATGTGAAGGGCCGTACGGTGTTTATCGTTGATGACATGATCGACAAGCCTGGTTCCTGGATTGCGGCGGCCGAGACAGTCGTTAAGCGCGGATTCGCCAAGAAGGTTTACTGCATCGCGACACACGCTGTGTTTGGTGCCGACTGCCTTGAGCAGATGCAGGCGTGCGACTGCATTGACTATATTGTGGTGACAAACAGCTATCCGATCCAGGAGGACAAGGCACGGAACGCCAGCAAGCTGGTTGTACTCGATCTCTCTTTTCTCCTGGCAGAAGCTATCCGGAGGAATCATTATGGCGAGTCCATGTCGCCGTTGTTTCTTCACATGGGGGATTAGGCATCCCCTCCCGCTTGGCAGGAATAACGGCCCTCGCTGGTGATGGGCTGACCAGCTGTTATTATTATGAAGGTATGTCAGGCAACTCGGACTTATGAAGCATGGCGTTTGGCGGATGGTGGGCGGGTTTTTCCTTTATCTTTTATCCGATGACGAACAATGAGATACGCTCACGGCATAGATTTGGGAGAGCAGTCAGATACCGAATTGATCCGAGTTGACGCTTTTTCGCGAGCCCCGTTGGTGATGGGCTGTTGCCTGGTTTGGTTTCTAATGGAAGCCAGTCTTATGTTTCTTTTTCTTTCTCGGTCCCAACGATGCTGCCATTTGGGCAGCAGGAGCAATGTCCATCCCAGGACGTGCCCCTAACGGAGCGTTGGTAGATTAAATCGTCCTTCGGGACTGTCCGATCCAGAAGGCTCTTTGTCCAGACTCTTTTCTTAGGGTCGCTACCGCAAGGTTGGTGGGCAAAGAGCAAGAGAAGTTTTGGTACATTTCATAAATTAGGCGTGGGCTCTTAAGAAGAGAAAATTATATCGACGTTAGTGTCAATCTCGTCGTCTTGTTCATGGTGAAACGTATGTCCTCGATGTGGAAGATTATTTACATGGTAAAAGGTTTGATAGCATAGCTGTGAGAAGGGGAAAAGTACAGAGAATAAACGTACTTTTTTCTGTAGTACTACCACCAATCCTTCTCACCACCAACATCATCAACGCCGCCCGTTTCTGGTCCACCAGTCCCGCCCCCTTCTGCCTCCGCTACCGTAGCAGCCACGGCCGCGGCCTCCGCCGCCCTCTTCTCGGCCTTGACCCGAGCGTTACAGGCTTTATGCTTCAAGCCCAGGGGATCATATTTATATAATGGCGCCTACCGACACGCCTACCACGACCATCGCCAACCCCCTTTCGTTAACGGCAACCCTGTCCGCGTTGCTCTTGGCATGCTTGACAAACACCTTTAGACCTGACTAGGTACCTACGTACGGAGGCTCCGGCCAAAGGAGAGGGTCCCCCTCCTCAGTGCGGAGTTAAGATCTCAAACTTGTTCACACTGTCAAAACTATCCTTGCCTGTAGGTGAGAAGCACTGGAAGGCCACCAGATTTAGTGCTCACCTCGCTAAATCCCAGGGCTGTCAGTCCTGAAATTTGGATGGCTACTGCACTGTGTGCGCGATAGGCTTGCGATAAGTGGTTGGCCAGGCAGTGAGCAGGGGTGATCTGCGCACTGGGCGAGGGGGCCCTTTCTTTTGGCCGGAGCCTCCGTACCTGCTACCTACAAGCCTATATAGGTGAAGCAACCTCGTAGGTGTTGAGAATGCTGAGTGTTGGCAATGATGTGTGTTGACAGTGCTATGTTGATAATGTTGTGTGTTGACAAGTCAATGGCGATGGCGATGGCGATGGCGATGGCGATGGCGAGCTCTGTTCTGTTAGAGCCAGGCGACATCATGTTTGTTGTTTCGTTGTGAGATCCGACGGCGAAGTTCCACCTCTTCCCAAGGTCGACCAATCCACATCCTGCGCCACATTCCATACGACATCCGGCATCGCATCTGGAGACATCCAAAGACATCCGAACGTATCCCACCCAGTCCACAATCCAGTCCCAAACTTTCACAATGTCGACCATCCTCGGAACAATCCAAACTCGCAAGTTCGCCGGAGCAATCCATACTCCCGTCTCCAAGCTGCCCACACCGTCGTCTCCTCCACATCTTCCCTCAAGACCACACCCACTGATCCGCTCATCCGCCATGAGACCCATTCCGTACCGTCCTGTCGATACCGGTCCAAAACAACGCAGCAAGAAGCTGCCTCAGTACTGACCAATGAAAGCCCTCGAGGGGAACAAGAAACCAGTTGCGCTGTGATGAAGGTATGGTAGGTTGTGCGGGTGTTGAATTGAAAGTACGTTGTAATGCACAACCTCCGGAAGGCAGGCGTTGTCGTGGTGCCGAGGAACAAGCGCGAAGCGACGATCAAGACGATATTTTAGATATCTGCTAGCGAGTCAATGTGACGATTCAGGCACCCTGATGGGTAAAGACCGCCAGTGATGCAGGTGCAAGACATCTTAAGACTCTTTGTTTACTTACAGACAACTGAGTCAAAGGCAGCTCAGTCAGGAAGACAAAGGCATTCAGAAACAACCTGGAAAGGAATAGAATAGATATAGATAGACCTGGCCCAGCCAGCTCCGGCTGGGCCGGTACCACCAATTGACACACAATCTAGAACTATTCCCTGCAGAGAACCCATATTCCCACAGTCAATACCCTGATATGCGCTTGGGAGTTCACAGAACGCACACTGATGAAATTTCTTCAACCACGTCCAAGCCATCTGGGGGCAATCGGTTGAGATGTGTTGGTGACGGAAACCACAGCCTGAAAATGACGATTTTTGTTGAGTCTGACAGCGCAAGTGAGAAGGCACGGCGCTACTACTTAAAGTCGAGGCCGCCAGTGAGCCCTTTGAACCTTCGTTAGTAGGTGTCGGCTTGGTGGTAACTGCAATGGTAAACCGAAACTGCTCGTAATAGGCGTGGCCGGGAGAAAAGGCTGTCTGCGCTGTCAAGGCGGTATAAGATGCCACTTCCATCCATAACCCCAAAAGTTCCCGGGGTTTTGTCCCTCTCGTCCCATCCTCGAAGGGACCCAGTACCTGAGACTGCAGACGCCCCCATCCTGAGACCACCACAAAAACGCAGACGCCCCGATTCCGAGGCCCCTGGCACCATATACACGAAACGCAGACGCCCCATCCCAAGATGCCACATATACGCAAACGCAGAAGCCCTAATTCCGAGACGCTGTATACACGAAAACGCAGACGCCCGTAACACCAATATATATAAAACGCAGACGCGTATCCCAAGATGCCATATATACGAAACCGTAGACGCCTACACTTATAAACTTAAGAACGCAGGCACAGCATCATGGCTTGTTGCTCCTTGCTCCTCTGCCATTCTTCTTCAGTCCTCTGGTTCAGCTCATGCAATCCTGAGACGACAGTGGAGACAAGAGCAGATATGATGCCTTCGCTCCCGTCGTCTCGAACTAGTTTGGACTCAAATATACGGAGGGTCGAGCAAATAGGGGTTGGGTGGCTTCCAGCCTCGCGCCTTCCCGACTATGAATCAACCACGTCAAAATCAGCCCACAACGCATTCGATTGGCCTCCCATGTGGATATCAGCCGTTTGTACGATTCCAAGTGTGACCTCGTGGACGCTCATCTGGTTATCTCACTGCCCAAGTGGAGATCTAGGTCTTCTAGCTTATCATGATGCCACACAAACTGCAATCCCGGGGCGCTTTGCCTGGCGCTTCCAGCCGTAGCATGTTCAGCAATGGATGCATGTTCCTAGGCGTCGGCAGTCAATCTCGGCTGCCCTCTGATTTCACCACCCGGCTTGAGGTTCAGTTGGCGCTCATTTTCACTGCTGCAACCAACTTTACATTGCCGCAAGGTGGGCTATCATCGATGCATTCACGGAAGCAGCAAATCACCACGAGCACCCCGACTTCGTCAGGCTAGCTCTGACCAGCGCATATGACAGGCTGTTGCGGCTACTGATCATACCTTTCTGTTGGAAGGGGCTCACTCTGCTCCCATTACCCCTGATTGACAGTTTACGACTTTATGCTCACCAAGGTAACCAACCGCATATTTTGTGCTCCGCTTCTGGAAGTCCCGCAGGCCTGACAAGTCGTCTGTTCTAAAAAGATAATGTCCATCTCTATTCGACTCCGGATTTAAGTCCCATCTGGAGTGACATTTTTGCAAACCCCCCTCCAACATCCCAAAACTCAGGTGGACTGGATACGATTCTTCTAGCATACAATGTTTCCCTGGCTTTAGATGGTTTCATGCTTGCTCCGACCACGATCTAACACATGGGCAAGCTTCTATCAGGTCAGCAGCAGCGGGCTCCGCAAGTCCTCAAGTCGGGTTTAGGGGCAGTCAGCGTCTGCGTGTTCATGTGTATGTCTGCCGTTGGGGATGTTTGTGTTTTGTGTACACGGTGTTGAATGCAGGCAGTCGAAAGGAGGGTAGTACTGCGAGCAACTCCATTGCTGTAACTTGTCTAGAGTCCCCAGTGTGAAGAGAAACTGCGAAGAAAAGGGGGACGTCGCCGGCGCACGGGCCACAGCTGCCGAAGTGCACGGTCACCTGCACACCTCCCAAGTCAAGAGTGTCGTGACAAAAGCAAAATAGCAGCATTGCATTCCCCGTTGTGTCAAACACAAAGAGAAACCGCTTTATAGTAAAAAGGACGCACAGAACTAAAAGATTTTAACTTTTTTAAAGAAAAAAAAAGCACCCCCGGTGAGGATTGAACTCACAGCCTTTAGATCACATGTTTCAGCAATAGAAGTCTAACGCGCTGCCATTGCGCCACGAGGGCCTTGACAGATATTCGACAGGGGTGTTAAAGGCAACTATGACACCCCGACACTAATTCTCCATGAGAGTGCAGCAAACGTCTGTTACCCCCCTTCACTTACTTTGCTTCATTGACAGGTGTTCCAGTTGCCAGTTGGAGAACCTCGAAGTGTGCGCCACGCGGGCACTTTTACCAGATCATAACGTCTGCCAACTATTGTAGCTGAACTCCTACGAAGACCCATAAACAAAGGATTACTGCAAATAGATCCGTCCGGAGACACAATTGCCAAGTACCTACACCTCATAACCTTGCGCTGACCACAACCCACTTCAACCTCCCAAGACGAGGGCAAACACCATGATCGCCCGTCTGGCGTGTGAGCTTGCAACTAGGGGCTTGCTGCGGCTGCACGTGGTCAGCCCATACTTCAAGGCAGGACAAAGCTGCATCCTCTTGTCGGCGCTCAACAGATTGGCCTGAGGCGGTGGTCGTTTCACAGGTAGATAAGAGCATTGTAGGCTCTGGGCTGTAGGAAGAACTTCCCTTCTGCAAGAGCCAGCTTTGTGGTTATTGAACCCACCTGGCAAGTACATACAAGAGGCGTTGTTTTGTCTTGTTGTCTATACACACAGTATTAGAAAAATGTACGGAGTGCGGGAGGAAGATGGATGGAGTGGGAGAGACAGACAAAACCAGGAGTAAATTTTTGATGATGCTATGAAGGGGTCAACAGGAAGGAAATAGCATTGGCTCAGTATGTGGTCGATAAGGCGCTGTCCGAGGATGAAAGGAGACGGGATACTGACATTGACTCCAGAGATGCTGGAGAGAAAAGTGAGAGTGAAGCAGGCCGAAATTTTCTTCGAAGGCTTGATGGGCACTCACGTCGGAGCGGCAGGAACACATGAAGAAGGAGCAAATCGCCGAATCCTCTGCTCTGCGAAGTTCATATCGGACGTCATCTTTTTCTTCACCGACTTTCAGCTCCTTTCGAGATTTGTTACTGCTAGGCTCACAGGCGCGGCTCGTCTGGTGTCATGACAAGCTATCTCCATGGTGAAACGCTACACATCCCCCTAACTGCCTCCCTTGGACCACAGACGTATCTTGATAATCATGAAGCAGACAGAAATTCATCTCCCCAACGCTTCCCTCCCCTGGGTTTCACCCAAGGGGTACAATAGTCGTCATGGCATAGCCTCACATTTCCGCTCAGCCATGCCAACCCCCTTTCAACCAGAGAAATCCCACCATAAACACTTACACTTGGTAATTACCCCCCTGGCTATCCTCTATCCCAAACAAACCCCAACCAACCCCTTTGCCCCTTTCCTTACCAATGCCCAGCACCAGTTATCGTTCTACGAAACCTTCGTCCTACACGCTATCGGCCTATGCAGCTCTTCTAATGCCCAGCCCAGCCCAGTCACACTGTTATGTTACAACCCAACCCAGTTATCGTCCTACAAAGTCCTCGTTCTACGAAGCCCTCGGCCCGTGCAGCTCCTCCAAAAGCCGCGCAAAAAGCTCACTCTCCCGCCGCTGCTCTGCCAATGCCACATCCTCGAGCAGATCGCTTCCGTGCTGCTCGGGATTGTTTGAACCGACCGCCTTGATGCAGCTCCAGGCGCGGCGGAACTCATCACGGATGGCGACGATGCCGTTGTGAGTGACCGTCCGGGCGACGTTGTGGTCGAGCTCGAACGGGTCCTCGATCGCAAATAGGTAGCGGTGGCGGATCTCCCTGACCTCGCGGGGCGGCTGTGCTTGCGCGTGTGCCTGCTGGCCCGTACCGGTGGCCGGAGAACCTAGCGGGTCACCACCCGCCTGAGAGGACTGCGGTCCTTCCGCAATCGGGTTGTTCGGTTTCGCGAGGGGGTGGTCCAGTCCGCCCGGCGGTGGCGGAGCGGCCGCGTTGACCTCGACGATCGTCTTGGCCCCTGTCCAGCCCTTTTCTTGCTTGGAGAGGAGACCTCCATGCGTGCGGAGACTTATCACATCGCGGCCCCAGTCGAAGCCGCGACACGGGACGGTGCTCATCTGGTTGCTGTGCGCATAGTACTCGAAGAATCCTCGGAGAAGGTGCCCGATCGAGTCGCGATTCTGCGTGAGGGTGTTTTCACTTGCCAGCCGTTGAATCTCGGCTTCATCGCGCCAGAACTGCACGTTCTTTCCCTTGCAGACGACCGTGTCCTCCATCTGCTGGGGCGTGAGGTTCGGGTCCGGCGGCCGCGCCAACTGTTGCAAGTTTGGACAGACAAACGGCTGCGCGATATTGACGAGATAATGTAACATCATGAGCACATATCCATAGCTGCTAAGCGTACCACGGTAAGGAGAGTTGATTTGGCGCATTTTAGCCCAGTGCTTGACGAAGAGTACCAGCGGCCGAACTCGGGGGTCGCAAAGAGAATAGCACCGCAAGAGAAGCGTGTTGTGCAGCGCGAGATGGGCCGAAAAATTGATGTCGCACTGTACTCCAACGCCGGACTTGGGAAACTCCAAGCGGTCTTTGTATGGGTCTCTGGGCTGGTTCGGTGCCTTACGGGCTGGGTCTCCAAAGAGACGGATATTCGACATGATTCGGTCGGCGTCTGGACTTAGAGGCACGACAAGATTCCAGGCCGAATCCCGCGTCTGTGGAGAGACCATCGGGCCCCGGAGGATTTCGACATACGATCTAATCGAAGCAACGGCCTGGTCCGGATACAGCCCCTTCTCCAAGCATTTCTCGTATTCCTGGGCAAGCTGAAGGCTTTGGTGCCTCCTGGCGACCACACGCAAGCAAAAGCTGGCTTTCGGCAGCGCACTGGCGAAAGCCTCGATCTCATGTCGAATTCCTTCGTTATAGATGCCCTGGATGTAGTGGCGAACAACTAGATTGAGCGACTCCTGGTTGTTCTCGGATGGGTGGTCCAGAACCCCAAGGTCAGTCATGAGTTTCTGGGCTCTTGCAAGGTAGGCTGAAGCTGCTTCGTGTTGACCCTGGGCGAGGAGCATCACCTGGATGGAGGGGATCGTTTTCAGCTGTTCGAAGCCGTGCTGCAGCTCTTTCGCATATCCAAGGGGGTCTTGGCCGAAGGATGCCCTGTTACAGATGGCTTGCCAGTTCCTGACGAGACTCGACGCGTTTTTCTCCCTGACTTCATCCCTCTCGCGTATTTCGCGTGACTCCCACATCATAGCCAGAGACTCGCCCTCCATCTGGGTATAGACCCCATGAAGCGTTCGATAGTTGGTGTTGGCTGTGAGTGCGAGTTCGCTGAGAGACCTGTAGGTTAGAAGTCGTCTCTTCAGGTTATCGTCTGCCAGGCCATTGACGAATACGAGATTGAACTCGTTGAGCAAAGTCAGGTCACTCCTGCTAAGTTCTCTAGAATTCGAATACGTCATATCTCGCCCGCCGACTTTTCTGAGTATCCCTTTAGCGCCGCTGTAGTACGCCGCAAGGGTCCTCTTGTCGCCTTGCTTGAGTGAGCGGAGCCGGGTCTCGAGTGTGATGTCGTCCTTGGTAGATATGGAAGGTTCGCGGTCATGGTGTTTGCCATCATTTGGTTGTGTCTCTTCCAACAGGTTCACATCTGCCTCTCCGTGAATGTCGTCCTCATCGTGTCCTTCCGGCAATCCGTTCTCCCACTTTTCTCTCTCGTCCAGAAGAGCGGCCCTCAACTCCTCGGGCGGCCTCTCGCAGATTTTGATGATGGGAATTCTGGTTCGGCTCAAAAGTCGAGCACCTAGCCCCATTTCGAGGAAAGCCTTCTCAATCAGTCTGGGAATCGGCGAGCCTGGGGCGTCAGGTTGTACGGCGGAAAGAGGAGAGAGCAGACCAAGATCCATATCGGCAGCCTTTGTCGCAAATCCGGAGGATAGGCTGCCAAAGCATCTTAGCTGGACACTCGCCGGCGGAAAGTCGTGAAACCCGTTGACTTCGATCTCATATTGCGTTATGACCCGCCGAGCGATTTCCTCGATCCGGCACCTGAAATTCTCCTTCTCGTAGATATCGGCCGGCTCAATCTCGGCATCTGCAATGATGGTGTTGCAAAGCCCTTCGAGCATGTCTGCCTGCATCTTCAGCTCCTCAGGCCGAACGCGGTAGAACCCGTTACGGTCGTAGGAATTCGACCCATGGTGTCTCGAAGTTCGTGGGGAGGCCATATCAAACGGGGAGCGCGCTCCATGGGGCGGTGTCCTCTGGTCTCCGCCAGACGTGCGAGGCTGATGCCAGTCACCAGAAGACATTGGGCCGTTATAGGACAACGACGGATGATGTCGAGGATGGGGTGGAAATGGCCCAGGTCCAGGGCCTCCTGGCAATGTAGTCCCTTGACTCGGGGGACGGAATGTGGCAGAATGAGGACGTCGGACATGGTTCTGGCCTGCATTTGTGTACTGAGTATGAGGGTAGCCAGGAGGGCTAAAGTAGGGCCTCATGGGCTGGTTCATCTGGGGCCTGGTATCGATGGGGATGGATAGCTGGGCTGATCTCTGGCGGCGCTCTGCCTGGTTCGGCCGCTTATGTTTTGACTTTGCGAGCGGCGGGGATGGTTGACTGTTGACTGGGAAGGCCTGGCCCTGTCCGGCTGGAATCAAGCCTGGAGGTTGCTGCAAGAAGCCTGGTGGAGGATCGAGTTGGCGAGTAGCGATGGGCTGATTCCCGTAAGGATTACCGCCCATGGCCGGCATGGGCGGCTGAGAGAGCTGGTTTTCGGGACGCGCGAGAATCATGTTGCGCAAACGATCCTCGAGACCGCCGGTGCCGGTTTGGTTTTCCATGGTGGGCGCGCCGTGCTGAGTTTTGTTGAGGTCGGCGGCTGCGGATGTCGCGGGGTGGATGTTTTGGTGAGCGCTGGCGGCGCAGGCGCAGGCACAGAGTGAAGGCGCGAGGGGTTTGCCGCCTTCGATTATCAGAGCCGTCGAGATAAATTCTCCTCTAGCAAGGGACCAGAAAACCGAGAGGGTTCTTGACATCGAACAGTGGCCCCATCTCCTCCCTTGGAGAGCTAGCTGTGGATACA